TTATGGCATATCTGTCTGTCTGTAACTAGCTTGATTCTTTGTATTGTTTTGGTGGTGAATTCTAATGCAAGGGGACATTTTGGAAATGCACATTTATTCTTAGGAACAATGTATTATGTGTCACTTTTGTATTTGCTACTGCGCAGCCCGTCATTGCTGAAGAAGTATCGGTGGAGAACTCGGAATTGGTTCTGGCAAGCAATGGGACCAAATCGTCTTCATCCGCAAAGAAAGAAGATGAGGTGGCTAGTGAACGGCACGATGAAAATGGATAGGCTAAGCTGAATGATGTGTGGCAAATCCCATGCCTCCTTACCCCGCGGGGTGCATATGGAGCAAAGGCTACAGAAGACGGAGCGGAAGTTGCCGAAGATAGCGAGGACAATGCAGGAGAAGACACCGCTCGGATCAGACGGGGCTATGGAAGGATAGTGAAGCAGGTAGACACCCTAACAGAAGAAGTAGAGATCACAGTGCTGCTGTAGATCATGGCGAGCATGCGTTCTACAGGAGGAAGAACATGAACGGCTCAAGATAGTACTTCAGTATTATTTTTCTCAAGGTGTAGACTGAGAATGGAAGAGCGGATCAGCAATATCAGTGTGTTCAATAGACTGTCAGTGTCAATCAAATGGACATATCATTACACAGTGCTTGAGCTACTCAGATAATTTATATGTTATAATCTGGCAACCGAGGCTCTCAAGATAAGAAACCACATTATAATCCTACGAAATAATATGGTGATAACTGTTCAGTTATTACCAATCCGAGCGCCTAGAATGGATTAGAACAAAATCACAGCCCGTGTGTAGTATCGCAGCCTATACATGCTGTTCACGGACTCAGAAGAGACTTATGCTGTTCACGGACTCAGAAGAGACTTATGCTGTTCACGGACTCAGAAGAGACTTATGCTGTTCACGGACTCAGAAGAGACTAGCGCAACAGTATTCCTGAACTGAATCAATCTAGAAATGAAGCAGCTTGTACACTGGGTAATGAACCATGTGTGTGTTATTGAAGGATATTTTGCTATGACTGTCTAAAGTGTCTATTCACACGAGTCATGCAGAGAGAATACTCTCCCAGGCCGTGTAGACAGCGTATCTATTGGCATTCATCACCACCTTTAACCACCTTCTGCCTGAATGCTATTTATTTCTAACGCCTTATTTATATGGAGTGGTAGAGTCTGCTATAGTTATTTATAGCGTTTCGTATCTAACGCCTTATTTATGGCATGGATCTCTGCATCCAATAGAGGCATGCAATATTGTTGGCCCAGTTCACTTGGTATATTTACTGATTTGACCACCGTGACTATATGGGTCGGCAGCACAGTGATCCAATGTCATCGTTTTGCTGCGAAAGATTGCGGCAGGCTGCTGTGTACGCTGGATCTGAGTGACCATGATGTGATGCTCCATCAGGGTGCGCCTGTAAGATACTGTCAAGTCCCTGTCAGACTCTGAACAGCCCCTTAGCCATTGTTCACCCCAGAAATCAGAATATGAAATCTATTTATCCAAGCAGGCCTTCACCAGAAGCGGTATCCTCCCGGAGTACATGGCATGTATCTCCTGACTTTTGTCATGCACATTGACATTCTCCCTGAGAACAATCAAGCATAGAATATTATGAAGAGTGTGATACAGTACACGGGGTTCTAGCCAAAGGAGGGTAGGGGGCGAAGCCCCCCCCCCCCCCCCCCTACTTTGTTTGCACCCCCCCTGTGAAAAGTCTTTTTCATTTTTGTGTTTTATCATGCCATTCAACGAAAATGCGGTCGATAGTTAGTAGTGTAGAGGGTTCATAAAGGCACATTTGTCTGGCGTGAAACCAGGTGTTTACCCCGTACGTACATGTACGTTGCATTTAGCATTGCAAGACAGTTACATGTATTTTGAAAATGGAAAATGGGTTACGGGGTAACTGCTTCCCCCCCCCCCCTAGTATTTTGACTTGGTTAGAACCGTGGTATAGCATAGGTAGTACAGTACTATCGGATGCTGTAGAACCTGAAGGACTGAAGGACTGAATCTGTCCCTCCAGGAAATCGCGATTGCACGGATGCAACAAATTTCGCGATTTTGGCCCAAACCCGCAATTTTCAGCAAAATCCGCTATTTCCCGCGTTTTTTGTTGTTTTCGGCACTATAATATCTCACATTTTATGCACTTTTCATGCAGTTCTTTCCATGATCCTGTAGGTTATTTGCACAGTACGACTCCCGAGTAAATATACGATGCAACACATTTCGTGATTTGGCCCAAATCCGCAATTTTCTGCAAATAATTCCGCGAATTCCTGGCCAGTTCTGCATCATTCCGCACTTTTCGTCGCATTTTTTGTTACTTTCTGCCGCAATTTCTTGCGCAAGTTTTCGAGAGTTTTTTCCGCAAATTCCCTGCGCAGGGACAGCTGAATCATCCCAGCATGCCTAGAAAGTACATGTAGCAGCAACGCGCTCTTTTGTTACATTTCCAGTTTCCAGTCTCTTCTTGCTATGCTTGCATAATAAACTTAGTGAAGTATGCATGTGTGCCTGTGCAACCCGGGCCTTTGCTTCATGATCACATCATAGCCTAGGGTGGACTCCAGCCGGACTGTTTTTCGGCCGACAGTTGTTGAAAGTGCTCGGCAGTAGTATCACTAGTGTAGCACGCCAGCAAATACGGAATTGTTCTTAGGTACAGTGCTGTGGTGTGCTCGGGCAACTATGGCACATACACACAAAAACAAACACACACATGCACATGCACCCCCCCCCCCCCCCACACACACACACACACACCTCAGACCTCAGACCTGCCCATCGCGGAAGCGATGATAGCGAACAGCTATGTTAGACATAGCAACTTGTGCTGGGATTACACCATTCAACAGCTTGCGAGACTGATGAATTGACCGCCACTATTTTTACACACACACGCATGTACACGCACACACACACACAATTACACGCGCGTGCACACACACACACAAACACACACACACACGCGCGTGCACACACACACACACAAACAACTATGGCAGTTGCGCACTGGACGCAGGCCAAGGCGGATTTCTGAGACTTTCGTTGTTGTATTTGTTGTATTTTGTGCGTATACAATTATGTAGATTAGAAGCGGTGAGGCCTCCTGCAGTTTCATACAGAATTACAGATGGAGCGGACTCGCTCCCTTCTATTTACACTGCAACGCTCGAACACATTTTCGTAGTTAAAACAACGTTTCGGCATATAGCCCTCATCAGGTTTGCAATGATGTGCACTCTACAAAGGAGCAGCAAATATACTGTGCTGTGCTGTGTTTGCGCCAAATGTGTCAGCTACAAATAATATATCACCAATCCCTTTCGCCACCTTTGTAGCTGACACATTTGGCGCAAACACAGCACAGCACAGTATATTTGCTGCTCCTTTGTAGAGTGCACATCATTGCAAACCTGATGAGGGCTATATGCCGAAACGTTGTTTTAACTACGAAAATGTGTTCGAGCGTTGCAGTGTAAATAGAAGGGAGCGAGTCCGCTCCATCTGTAATTCTGTACAATTATGTAGATGTGTTAGCTAGTTACATTATAGGGTGTGGACTATCATTACAATATACTTAGCCAGGTCTTAGCTCGCCTGCACTAGTACTGCATAGGCCAACCCGCATCGGTTATTATTATTGGCCAGACTGACTAGCTGCTGGGTGGGTTAACAGTTTCTTACAAGCTTCTTTACACAGGACTCCCTTCGGGAACGGACACGATAATTTACTTACTCAGTTTTACAGGGCTTACCTGGTGATATTAAATTCTGTCACTCAGCACATACATGATGTACATTGTACATGACTGTAATACCAGGACTGGCAAGAGTACAAGATGATACTGGTACTTCGAAGTACATGTAGTTCCAATCCAGCTCATGACAGTCATACTGTACTGTAGTGATTTTGTTGACTTCTGCTTGAATTGTAGTTTTGTACCTTCTTTGGCCAAGCTAAATACCGGCATGATCAGCACGCACTTTACGTACCGCAAGTCTAGTCGATCGTAGCCAGGGAGTCGTAAAAGGATGCTCAACTTCTCAAGACTCCTCCTATCCGCCGCAATCATTTTTATTTACCTCTACCGGTACAGTAGTATGTAGCTCGGCTGGGTCGGCTGTCTGGAAGTACCAAGACAGTGAAGTGGTTTCCTTCGCTAGTTCGGGGATAGGGAGTGGTGAAAAGGGTTTCCCTGCAAGTGCCGTCAGTCATTGTACTTACAAAACAGGTGTAGTAGTAAATACTTCAGTTACAAGATCTACCAGGCCTGCAGGCAGGTAGACAATCATTAATTTTATGTGATAGACTAATAACAGTAGTACATGTATGACTGTACATGTAGTCCACCAATAATTAGGCAATATCTTTTACATGCACAATTTCGATCCGCTTGTATTATGACATTGTATAATGCATTGCATTGCAGCCCGGCCGGTTAGGCAATCATGAATAAAACCACCATGTGTTCATGTTCCCTAGAAATGAATGAATAGCAGTACTGTACGAGCGTACTAGTGTGTCGAGACGACAGAGAAACGGTAGATACGGGACAACAATAAAAGTTTACCAATACCATGAATCAAAATACCAGGACCAAAGACGACACTGTACAGACTCAGTGAATCGTGGTTAGTTAGGGATGTAAATCTACATGAGTCTTTGTACATAAATCGTCTCGCTTGTACAGATATCTAGAATAATAGTTCTACATAATCATAACCAGGGAGTAGTAAAATACACTGTATTTTACTACTCCCTGATCATAACCATAGCATAGCCTAGGGCGACCTCGAACATGACGATGGTGCATGCTTGTGACGTGCGTGAGCTAGCCCACATGCATTGTCATAATCATCATGATGCATTGGTGCATCATAACGAAAATGAGTCCGACTCTGACTCTGAGGCTGAGCCTAGACTGAGGCCTTACTCTGTGAGGGTAAGTACAAGCACAACAAGTCGAGCTGTTATTTTTTCACAAATCATCCATCCGAGTCCTGGTTACTGGAATACTGGGTCAAGGCATGGCTGTGTTGGCCAAGCAGTACCAAAATATTGAATGTACGGTTCGTTAGTGGAACGACGTTACGTAAACCATTGGCATTGTAGCGCTAGACAAGTCTCAAGTTAGTTTGTTCATTAGATCTACCGAGCCACATTTTCAACAGGCAAGCAGCATCTAGCTCTTTACGCCTGTCCGACGAATAATTTTTGAAGTCATTGTCTGTTATAGCTTTACTAGAAAAGCGTGGATCTACTGTCACTTAGTGTCACTTAGTTAGGGTCTTACATGGGCCTTGGAGACCTTCAAAGTCCATAATCCAGGAGTTCAATTTTAGGACGAATGAGGTACTGGCAATAACCAGATAACTACATAGCTCATCTCGTCACGTCTCTGCGAGCGCGCGGTCAGGCCAGTGTGCGTTTGCCAAGTACTAGTAAGTAATAGTAAGTTAGTTATTGTAGGGAAAGCACGTGTTGCACTACTCTATTTTGACGTATCACAGTGGTCCCTATAATCCAGCACCATTAAGTGCTAAGGAAATCCTGCTGGATATGGGTAGGTGCTGGATATGGGAAGGTGCTGGATACGGGAAGGTGCTGGATATGGGAAGGTGCTGGATATGGGAAGGTGCTGGATATGGGAAGGTGCTGGATATGGGAAGGTGCTGGATTAACAAAATTAATCTGATTTACGGCTGCAGTGTGCATGAAGAAGACATTTTTTTGGCTACTGAAAAATTGTGCTGGTTGATAGAGGGTGCTAGTTTTATTGAGAGGCGACTGTGCATGTAGTAGGACTAATCGTGGGAAGAATTATTTACTAGCTGGGGGAACATCCACAAGGGTCCATCAACTGAATATTCACACTTGACGGAAGTGAAGATAAAGTACAGTGCTGCTCAATGAAATCTGATAGCGTGAATCATGTTTGCGCCCTCGGCCTGCACCAGTTCACATCACAGTGTTCGCCGGTCTCGGGTTGCATAGCACCCCGAGACCGGCATTCACTCGCTCGATCATATCTCATTGAGCAGCACTGTATTTAATCATCTATTCAATCTTTCTACAGGCGCGAATAGTCCTGGCGACAGAATGACACACAAACGTAGTAAAAATGATGCACTGCATCAAAGCAAAACATATCCAGAGAATGCACCGGGCTCTCCTCCTGACCTACGTCTTCTTTGTGCGCCGCTTGTATTGGAGAATGGACCAACCAGGGCTGTTCCACCTTGACGACTCATAACAATCCTTTGGACATGGTAGTCAGTGCAGTCTGGTGATTGCCGCTCAAGCATGAAACTCCGAGTCCCCACAAGAGAGAGTTTTGTATCCTTCTCTGTGCAAATGAATAGTTAAATTCTGTGTTACTTTGTTGTGTCGATAGGAAGTTGTCGCGATGGAGCAACGTCATCGCATAGCTCTGCAGAGGAATCACGTTACGCTGAAGACATCCTTGCACCCGCAAGGACACGTGCTTGATTCCCTGTATGCTGACAGGATAATTCAGAGGTACGACAAGCAGCACGTTCTCGTTGACAAGAGCGGCACTGAAAGAGACTCACCCAGCCAGGTTAGCCATGCACCTACCAGCTGCATGCCGAGAGGCTTTGAAGTGTTCATTTGGACAAATGCCAGAGATGTAACAGATCTGGAGCTACAAGGTCTAGATTAGAACACACAGTATATAGAAGTGCACTGCGCCTTAATCTGCTACAGGGCTCAATGCCTGTATGTGAAGAGCGCAGTGCACAAGAGGTACAGACGAAGGTGTCTGACGATTGGTTGTTAAACCCTGAGACTCTGAGTAACAACAAAAAGTCATTAGTCTCCTTTGTGTACCTCCTGTATAAAGAAGTTGATGCCTGTGCCTGTGCCTGTGGCTGTGGCTGTGGCTGGCGTAAGTTAGTAGGCACGTCAACTTTGCAAGGGCAGGAAAGTGTAGGCAAAGTTTTAGGCAACTTAATTAAGTTGAGGAAACACGCTTTGTATGAGAATATCGATAACATGTAATCGGTAGTAAACTGGCACTGGCACGATATGTAGTGATAGTATTATGCAATGTTTTATCATTCCTTGGTCATGATGTCAATGTTGATAAATATGGTGGTAAAGACACACCTGGCAATGTGGCGGTAAACACACGCCTGCCCACACACGCTCTCTAAGCTACAAAGTTCTGGCACAGAGCTCTCCTTCTCACCACCACCACCATCAACTTCATTCTCATGATGTCAATGTATTGAACAATTATGCTCACAAGGACTTCTGCTTAGAAGCAGATAATGGCCAGTGTTCACGCATTACGTCCTGCTACGGAAAAAAAGTTCTCCTTCTTTCTTTCCATGCCAAGGCTGAGGAGCTTTTGAAGTACCTTCCTACGCTAGGCTCCAATGCGTTTGAAGCCTTCTTGAAAGCTCTGAGGGATTCTGAACTTGATGTGCATCTCCAGTTGGTAAAAAAGCTTGAAGCGTCTGTGGCAGGTGAGCATTCCAGAAGAAAATCCATTTCTTTGGTGATTGTCGGCATGTTACCACCGACCGTGAATGGGTCAAAGAGCTTCTGGTAAATTCTGAAGTTTGTGACAGTTTGCTGCAATGTGTGTTTATTTGAAATTATGGCTCTGTGCATGTTTGTGTCTCAGATTGTGCCTATCTGTTGTTTCCAACGGTTACCGGATTTTGCTGTATGTGTACCCCTCACCCATTGCTCAATCGCATACAGACCTCGCATAACCGCACACATCCGTTTTTGGCAAAAATATCCGGATACTCCGAACCGGATAATCGAACACACATACTGTATGTATGCTTGGCATATGCTGTAAATCGGTAACCAGCGATTTTCTTCCCGATGCCGGGGGATCCGGATAAAAGAGGACGGGATAAGCAAGGTCTTACTGTACTAGTATTGTTATCTGCGGGTCTTTCATGTTTTAGAAACTGTAAGCTTTCCCATCCCGTACGGCATGCTCCCTTCCAGATGTAGAGAGGGAGGAAGAGAACTTGGCCAAGGAGAAGGCAAATGAGAATGTGGGCAAGCGTCGTATACACAGCGATGTCACGGCTGCCTACTCAAGTGGAACTCACATCACCGCCCAACAGGAGCGCCACACAGGGCACTATTCCGATGTCCATTGTGAGTAATATATTCAATTGTATTGGGATGACAATTTTATGATAAATTGAACATACCGGTACTAGTGGTCCAAGAAGAATAGCATTGTTTACTATCATTATGGTGTTGCATATCTTCCCTTTCACCTTTGACATTGAACTTGAAGAGGGGGGGGGGGGGGGAGGCATTAAAAAGTGCGGAGGATAAGACTGAACTTGGTTGAGGACGACACCACAGCTTATTGGCCTGAGCGTGGCTAGCTGAAAACAAAGGCCCAATTTAATCGTACTAATACGAAAAAGATGACCGGTTTTCATCTAGAGATGAGTTTTCAACCGGCCGGCCAAGATTTCAACTGGTGAAAAACCGGTTGGGGCGGCTCTGGCGGAATCACTGTCTAAGACTAGGAATATTTTCTCATCAAGTGTGTTGCATTACGTGTGTGTGTGTGTGTGTGTGTGTGTTGCATTGTGTGCGTGTTGCATTGTGTGTGTGTGTGTGTGTGTGTGTGTGTGTGTGTGTGTGTGTGTGTGTGTGTGTGTGTGTGTGTGTCCCATATGGTGCAGTGGTATGTGCAGCGATTTCCAATCGATAGGTTGCGAGTTCGATTCCCGACGATTATGGTCACACACGTCTTTCTTCTCTTTCTCAGACTCTTCCTAACTTTTCTTTCATTCTCCTGGGTGGTTACCAACAGCCAGTGTATGCCGGAGTATGTGGTGTGGTGTGTGTGTGTAGAAAAAAAATGGAAAAATGAAAAGTAGGTATTCACTGGCCAGAAAAAGTCACTTCAAACAGCTGTGTGGTGGATACCAGGCTAAAAATAGTGGCGGTCAATTCATCAGCCTTGCAAGCTGTTAAATGGTGTAATCCCAGCACAAGTTGCTATGTCTAACATAGCTGTTCGCTATCATCGCTTCCGCGATGGGCATGTCTGAGTCTGAGTGTGTGTGTGTGTTGCATTATGTGTGTGTGTGTGTGTATGTTTTGCTATATATTTCCTTTGAAGTCTCTGGTGGCAAGAAACAACAGGGACATTTGCCCGTTGGACATGCGGTAGCTATGTTTCAACCGCTCCGCATTCAAGCACAGCCTCTGTTGAACGGTGTGACTCTAGAAGAACAGGTCATGCCATCAAATGGCGGTGAGCAGGGCTATTTCAGTGTTTAATGTATCTGTGATGTTTCTTTAGTAGCTCCATCATTTACCACGGATCGTATCTTCACTAGAAATGTGACCAGAAAGACTGGTCAATGTTTGAGAAGGATGAGTTTACTACGTTTGTTTCCGTTTGTGCTGTGTAACATACAAAGGAAACTGGCCATTAACAAAAAGAGAAAAAAGTAGGGGTGAAAGTTGGCACCGAGATCCCGAGTTCGAGTACTCTGATTTTCTCCGATCGAATATTCGAGTATTCTTGATATCCTAAAAATCGCACACCAACCGCCTCAAAAATCACATGATACAACCCTGATTGAGCCGATTGGCAGTTCTCTTCTCGGATGTATTGGTTGGTGGGTCAGTTGGGCTCTCTCTACACGTGAACAAATGTTCACCACACAGTCTGCACATCAATACTAGTATCTGCTGACTGCTGCTCTAACTGCAGACTTCTGTGGTAAATGTATGTACCATGTATGAGCGAGTACTCTGATTTATTCCGAGTACGATTATATTCGAAAAATCCAAACGAGTATTCGAATATTCGGTATAATTGTTTCACCCCTAGAAAAAAGGCATGGCAGTCATGAACGTGGTTCAAAATGTGATGTGACCTAGTCTTGGAGACCATACATTTATTCTAATGTATATCTGGGTAATGGAAAGTGAATGAGGGAGATCTAAATTTAGGTATCCAAGACTATAATAATCGTGAACCAATTGCACGATGCATTGCTTCTTGTTTTATATGAAGGACGTATTGGTACAAGATGCAGTGTGATGACAAATGGTCATGTCATGTCCTATTCTTTATATACATGTACAAATGGTAGACTTACAACATGTGCTGACTCATTGTGCTGACTCATTGTGCAGGTGTCCCAGTCCTGGAACTCTCTGGACCTCATCCACCGATGGTACATCCACAATATGGCTACACCGCTGAAACGCCGCGTCCGACTTCATCTACTCTATCGTCAGTCAGCAATGCTTCCATCTCCAGTCACGATAGTTCTTTGCACTCCAGTGGCCTACTTGCTGGCAATCATGATCCCAGTTCAGCTGTAATGATGGAGTCTGGAGTGAGTGCAGCTCCTCAGTACCAGGAGCAAGGTAGCAACAGCTCTCGCTACTCTAGTGGTAGTGTTGAAGAGTATCAAGGTACTGCAGCACAGTCAAGTATCACGGACATGATAGTGACTAGTGATGGATGTTCAGTTTCTGGACCCCTGGGAGCTGGGAGTGATTTGGGGGCACTAAATGACATCATTCCTGTTCGTGAGGAAGCCAACTGGCCTCTGCAAGCAGCTGTGCATCACGCAGATCATGTTCCACAGCTGACACCATCATTGGTTGGTAACCCATGTCAGACAGAGGAATTCTCTCCACAACAGGCAACACAAGAACACCATGTAATTGCCCAACAGTCCGGTCAACAACCAACGGGGGAATTGCTACAACCGCTGTATGCAGCCAACACAATGGCACCACCTCAGCAGTCTCAATCCAGTCTGTATCCGGCGGCACAAAACGTTCCGGTTGAGCACAACACAGTGCCAGCATTGCAGCCTTCACAGCCTCCGAAAGCAACCCAGTATCTGCAGCACGATCCACAGCACCAAGTGACACAGCAGTTTCCAGCTCAGGCAGGACCATCACAGCTAGGACATGCCAATACCTATCAGATACCAGTTCCAAGTCAGCAAGTGGTGTTGCCTAGCCAAGGACAACTTCATCCAAGCAGCAATCTTCCTGTGAGGCATTCTCAACCTCATCAGCTGCAAAATCCTGTCAATCCAGCTGCACCGGAAAAGGGTGCTGCTGGTGCAAGCCAGCCGTACGCTTACACAAAGTCTTTTGTTCATCATCGTTTTGAGGCTCAAGGATTTCAAGCTAGTGCCCACTCCCCATCACAGAAACGTGCATTATCCGAGCAGCATCATCATACCCCAGCTTCTCACCATCATCATACTCCAGTCTCTCAGCAGCACCATCATACCGTCCCTGTCTCTCAGCAATCATACCCGTCTCAGAGTGTTCAGGCTCAGATTGTGCCTTCACATGAACAGCCACTCCAGCTAAGCCCGGCAAGGCAGCAAGGATTGGGGTATCCTCAGCAACATGCTCACAACCAATATACAGTTGACTCTCAATTACAGCATAAACACTCAACATCTCCTTTTATTGAACCCCAGCAACAATCACAGTATCAGCAGCAACAGAATCAAATACAACCACATCTACAACACCAAGTGCAGCACCAGCAGCAAATGCAACAGCACCAATTGCAACAGCACCAGCAGCACCAATCGCAACAGCACCAGCAGCAACAAATGCAACAGCACCAGCAGCAACAAAAGCATTACAATCATCATCAGCAGCAGCAACAGCAACAACAACAACAACAACAACAACAACATGTTCAGGTGCCGCAACATCTATATCAGCAATCACAGCAATCCACTTACCATCAGAATGGCTACTCACTTGCCCTACAGCAGCAGCAGCAACAGCATTCCCATCAAGGCCTGGATGTAAATCCAGAATCTCAGGACTATCCAATCCGGAATGAAGCACCTGCGCATCAACATTTACCAGCTAAGACCCACACATATTATGAGTATAGTCCTACTCAACCACCTCCTGTGGGTGGTTTTCAGCAGCAACATCTAGTTGAGAGCCAGACCACATCCATGAAACATTACCGATACCAGGAAAAGGATTCCTTTCCCCCTCCGGTCTCACCAAATTCACAGCAGCAGCTTGTTCCAAGTCACCTACAACCCCAAGCTCTGCAGCCACTTCAGCAGCAGGCAGCGGTTCACACCAATGGAGAATCTCTCACTGCTGGCCACTGCACCTGTGTGTCATGTTCCTCGACTCTGCGCGTACAGCATTCACACCACTCGCACCGCCATCGCGAGTCAGATGAGGATGGGGAAGAGCTGCATCTTTGTCTGAAGATCAGCAGCATATCAAGTGGCCAGAGAAGGATAGCTTTAGCACATAGCCCTGACCGAGAGCGCTCGGAAAATCATGACTCCACCCATCAAGGTATGCAGATGTATCCACCTTTGCTGACATGCTTCACAATAATATTTAAGTATTAATGGCCACACGGACATACAGACCATTTACACATATGTGTACTTAAGCACTGTTGCCGCTTGTACTCATTTATGTCAAGCCTATTGGCATACGACTAGGAAAGCTTTAAAGTTGTTGGTGTGCCCTTCAAACACGCGTATATGTACAGTGCGACTATGAAGTCAACTCGGATTGCGTGTGTGCACGGTTTTGTCTGTCTATCTGTCTGTCCGTCTATCTGTCCTTGTGTGCTGTTTTGTATATCGTTTACTCTGGACTGTGGCAACAGGTCACTCTTGTTGCAGCTCCAACGCAACGGTGCATGTGAATCCAGGAGGTGCACAAGCACCCGCGGCACAAGATGGAACTTCTGCTACTAGTGGTGCCGGTGTGAATGCTAGCTCTGTGGACCTCCCAACGGTTGGGACAGTGTCCTCATCCATGCCCGGCCCTGCAGCTGGAGGAGAAACCCAGTACCTGTCCAGACCTGCTGCAGATTGGAATCCGCCCAGTGGTGCAACTGCTTCAACGCCTGTTGATCCACATCCAAGGCAAAGTTCAGGTATGAGTATGTGCACTGGGTAAAATAAATACCACTATGTTACTTGTCCAATACATTGTGTTTACTCCAGTGTGTTACGTACTGGCATGGCTGAGTACCAAGTAACTGATGTCATACTTCAAGTATGTGTAATTTTCTGAGACATCATTGATTAGCTAACTTGCAAACGAAAGTACTAACAAACACCAACTGAAGACCTAGAGCCCGGCACATTAAAATACAGCGAGGGAACAAAACAGATTCATGTACACATGCAAATGTAGCACTAGTATGCTGGAATAGTACGTATCGTTGAAAGTATGTAATAGGTGTATGTATGCTACGACCTGAATACTCACTATTTGTATTTCCCGCTCGTTCCCCTTGGCAATGAGCACTCACATAGAAGAGCGCATGCTCCAGTTCTGTTCTAGTCTAGTCTTGAGTTGTCGTTGTCCTGTTCTCCTTCTGTCTACACTCTTATCGAATACTTCTATAAATTATCCAATCATATAAAACCCCTGTGTTCCGGTGTGAGGGGGCATCATTAGCCGGGAGCAGCTAACACTGGTGGCAGCGGAAAACGTCCACCACTACATCGCTGGCGGAGTATGTACGCCTTCGGAGATCGCCGACTATGAAGAACCACGAAGGCCCACGCAAGTGAAACCATATCCTCATCCACTCTCTTCGTCAATATTTTCCTTTCTGCATTGTGTTTCTTTCTGCTCGTCGTTTTCTTGTTGCATGCATTGTTTACCATGGTTTACAGTCCATAGGTCAAACATTGGCGCCAACCTGTCTGGCCAAACATTTTCGGAACATTTCTGTGTCCGTGTTTTGTGCATGATTGCATACTGACTGCTGTCTAGTGTCTGTTGTTAGGATAACTGCTAGCTGGGTAGTAGAGTCTAGCTACACTGTGTCCGTAGAGTACGAGTAGTTGCCTATTTGGAATTGTCTCTGCCAAATTTAGTTGTTTGCCGCTACGCACGATAGGTTACGTAATAGATTTAGATCGTGCGATAGTGTTGATCGAGGCGTCGATCGAGTCCACGGGAAATTTTTTGCAGATAATTTTTTTTCGAAAATTCAAAAATACAAAAACAATTTTTTTTTTCACAATGGGCCGTTCAGCGACATCCAAGAGACAAGAAAAGTAAGTTAGAGCGTGATCGCCTGGCCGGCATCCTTGAACATTTTGATTCTCGTCTCTCCGAACTGGAGAGAGCTGTCGGTGTCACAAACGGTTTTGTCAGCCAACAGCAAGGACAGCTGCGGGGTGGCCGTGGTCGTGGCCGTTTCGGACGCGGAGGTTTGCGAGGAGCCATGCAGCCCGACCGCGCGTGCTATGGCTGCGGAGAAGTTGGCCACTTCCTCGCTTATTGTCCTCATATGAACCGAAAAAACGGCAATTGACTGGTGACGCGGGGCAGCAGCCAGTCGAGGAGAACGAGCCCCTCCATTTGCATGATGTATGTGTGCATGCTATTTCGCAAATTGTCTTGCATGTAGATGTATGTTTCCGGACTGCAACGGTGTCTGGATTAATCGACTCGGGCTCAAGTGTATCGTTGTTGCACGCAAATTTGTTCACTTCGTTGTTTGACTCTGAGCAAACACTCGAGTCTGCTCCGCGTTTATGTGCGGTGAACGGAGAACAGTTGCCTGTGTTGGGGTCTGTAGAGCTTGCATTCTGCCTGGGCAACTGCTCATTTGTGCACTCCTTTGTGTTGTCTGATGCCATCCACAAAGATGTCATTCTTGGATCAGATTTCCTCTTTGAGCATGGTGGCGTGCTGGATGTTGCCCAAGGAATGTTGACGTTTGGCGAGGAGTCTGTGTGTGTGTGCGTTAGTGGCCCACGACATGTTCCCTCACAGACACTGGGTGCTACGAAGCCATTGTCTGACACCAGCGACACTGAGCCGGAACATAAAAATCATGAAAACAATCATTCAAAATCCAATCATCCTCAAAATATTCATCATATAAATCTACATGCATCATCCTCATCTGATCTGTTTGACGCTTCATTGTCTGCACGGGTTGTTGAACCCATGGCTCAACCTGGCGTTGTCCCGGCATGTGCGTCCGAAAGTGTGGCCGACCCTGTGGTATACTCATCTCGTGTGGTGTTTGAGATGGAGTTGTCGGTACCTGCAGGACATGTTGTCTTGGTGCCTTGTGCAGCTGTTGATGTGTGCACGGTTGCGATGGATTGCGTGGCAGATCCATTGGAGTCCTTTATGGCGAAGCATCCAGATGTGGCAGTGACTCCTAGTCTTGTGACTGTTGGCCCTAACCAAACACGTGTGGTTGTGGCTGTTGAAAATCATGCAAATCATCCTATACTCATTCATAAAAATACCAATGTTGCCGAACTTCATCAAATTCCTACCGATTGTGAACATATTGACGACACTGAAGCTATGGTTTCCTCAGTTTCACCCGACCCGATCCAGCTAACTGAGCAACGCAAGAAAGTCATCGATGAATATATCAACGCACAAAATCATCTCTCCACAGAACAGTCTCGCACGCTCACTGAACTACTTCATGATAACCACGATTTATTTATCTTGCATGATGATGACTATGGCTACTGTGACATATTCCCTCATAAAATTAACACAGGACAAAATAACCCTATAAAACAACCTACCAGGCGGATTCCATATCACCGCCGGAAGGCTCTGCAAGATCTACTGAATACGCTGTTGAAGCAAGGCATAATACAAGAATCGATTAGTCCGTGGGCATCACCCATAGTATTGGTGCCAAAGAAGGATGGCTCTCTTCGACTCTGTATCGACTACAGGAAGTTGAACTCTGTGACCGAGCCTGATGCTTACCCGATTCCCCGGGCGGATGACATGCTTGATTCCCTGTCTGGCTGTCGGTATTTCACGTCCCTTGACTTAGCGTCAGGGTACTGGCAAATAGCAATGGAAGGAAGCGACAAGGCTAAGATGGCATTTACCACGCCACTGGGCTTGTTTGAGTTTAATGTTCTGCCGATGGGCTGCAGGAATGGCCCAGCGACATTTCAGCGCGTAATGGAAGCAGTCCTGAGTGGCTTATGTAACACACCGGCCCAGCCATTCTGCCGTGTGTTCTTTGATGATGTCCTGAATGCCAGCGAAACGCTGTCTGGCCAACTCCAGATTCTGCTGCCCGTGTTCGCGCGAGTTCGGTCCGCTGGACTGCGGTTCAATCTGAAGAAATGCTCCTTCTTCCAGGAGGAGGTCACTTTCTTAGGACAACGCGTGTCAGCGGAGGGCATCTCCCCGGATGAAGCCAAACTCGTCGCGGTCAGGAACTGGAAGACTCCGAAATCTGTCACAGCTGTCCGCGAGTTCCTTGGCTTCGCTGGATATTATCGCCGCTTCATCCGTGGGTTCGCCCAGCGTGCTGCTCCGCTGACTGCTCTGACAGGCAAGAATGCTCGCTTTGCGTGGTCGAAAGCTTGCGAAGCGGCGTTCCAGGCTCTCAAGCGTTCGCTTGCCAGTGCGCCGGTGATGGCGTACCCCCAGTTTGAAGATTCAGCAGGTGCATTCATTCTGGACACCGATGCGAGCAATGTGTCGATTGGTGCAGTCCTCAGCCAGATCCAGGATGGAACTGAGCGACCAATTGGGTACGGCAGCCGTGTACTGACGAAAGCTGAGCGCAACTACGATGCTAGCGATCGTGAGGCCCTTGCTCTAGTCTATTTTGCGGAGTATTTCAGGCACTACTTGTTGGCACGACCATTTGTTGCCAGGACGGACAATACTGCGTTGACTGCACTCCGGAACCTGAAGGAACCCCGCGGACGGAAAGCACGTTGGCTTGACTGTTTATCCGAATATGAATTCCGGGTCGTCCACCGTCCAGGTCGCCAACATCTGAATGCTGATGGTCTGTCGCGCTTGCTTGCCGAACCTGAAGCACATGTGCACAGTGAGTCTCCCCCACTGGCACCAACGCCGCCGCAAGATGCTGCCCCGTCTCCTCCGCCGAGTCCGCCGCCTCTTGCCCGTGATGTTCCGTTGTCAGCTGATGATGAAATGCCACTTGCTGCTGATGTTCCTCCGGCTGCCGAGATTATTCCTCCGGCCGTTTTTGTTCGTCCTCCTGGTTCCTCTGCCGCTGGACCGTCGTCACCTGATTGTTTCAAGCCTCAGAGTCTTCTTGCTCCGTATGCTGATCCTGCTCTGTTTGAGTGTTTCACCCGATATGATGCTGCCAGTGGCAAGTTTGTTCGTCCGCCTGAAGCCGTTTCCCGTCCTCCCGACTGTCAACCGCCTGCCGTTACTGCTTCTCGTCCTGACCCGATTACGCTGTCCGATGATGATTTTCCACCGCTACAGCCGCCGTCGTCTGATCCGGTCCGTACTTCTTCTCCTGTTCCGCGTCGTTCTGGCCGTGTCCACACTGCACCTGCTCGACTAGCTGACTATGTCCTGGACTGAGTTTATTATTTGGTTTGTTTTCTTTTGTTGTTTCCTAGGTATTTCGTTCATTCCCGTGGACGTGAATTTTAGCTAGGGGGGCACAGTGTAA